CAAGGCGACGCAACGTCAGCTCGAAGAAATGCAACGTCATAATCGCGCCATGGAAGGTCACGGACTTTATCTCGCTCTATACAAGCGTGGACGAGGGTTCTCAACAGAGACTAAGAAAAAAAAACGTCAAAATAAAAATGCCTGCCGGTGTAACAACCAATGTACAATTGGAACACTTCGTTAAATAAGCTAGATGTTACTAATACTATGCGCTGTGAAAAACATTTAAAAAATTGCGCTTTACAAAATGTATTTAAAATATTCAATTGGTAGACGAATCATCATAAGGATTCACCCAATATTTTTATTCTCTTTTATTGTTCCCTCTTCCTCTTTTTTATCCCAGTATGCGAGTATTAAATTTCAATACGTGACGTTAGATAGCGGCGTCAGCCATTTAATTAAAATATAGATGTTACATTTCAGTACATGGGCATAGATTTTAAATATTTGAATGACGTATAAATAATTGTTTTGTCGTTCAATACTCATTCAATAGTCGTTCATAGCCGTTCAATAGTCGTTCATAGCCGTTCAGTAGCCGTTCAATAGCCGTTCGATAGCCGTTCAAAGCTGTTTAATTGCCATTCGATAACCGTTCAAAGCCGTTCGATAGTCGTTCAATAATCGTTCATAGCCATTCAATAGCCGTTCGATAGCTGTTCAAAGCTGTTTAATAGCCGTTCGTCTCGCCGGTAATCGTAGACCTGAGGAGCAAGCAGGGAAAGTGGTACAAACATATACACAACCAGGGCCTCTAAGTGGCAAAAACAAAACAAGACGGCGACAATAACAACCCCGAAGACGAAGAGGATGATACCCCCACAACCGGCGAAGACTAAGAAACGACCGAAATCAAAATCAAGACACAGAAAGTGACGATGGGCGAACCGAAAGACATCCTCGCCGCAATTAACGAGCTGCTGGACGACCCGCTCTTCGGGTACGATCCTCCGCTGCCGGGACCGTCTCCACAGCAGCAACCGCCGACGACTAGCCGTCCGCCAACCGGGCCAGCCACCCGACCACCAAGCCGACCGCTAAAGATCGGCACGCTGATCCAACGCTCCGACCGGGTAAATCAGCGAAAGATGGAGCAGCTGATGCGAGCACCGCCACCACCACCGGCCCGCCCGCGCCGACCGGCAACCGCACCGGTCCTCACAAAACCGCGGGACACCGCCACCAGCGAAGACCAGCCACTTCAACTATTGATGCAGACGGGACCGCTACCGCCACCGCCAATCCGAGTCCAGGTGGAACCCGGCATCATATTTGATGTACCACATTTCGCAGGACACGTATCGCGCAAATATAAGGTCCGATCACCCCAAGGTCATTGGGTGATGCGGTTCTCCAAGACGGGAGAACTGAGATACCGCCGCCGGCTCAATTAAACACGAGCGAAGTACGCCGATCACCGCGTAACCAAGCGAATGCCTCTAAATTCAGGCATATCCTACGAGGAGGGGGGGGGTGATGTAACGATGCGTTCCTCCCATCGTTACTAAACAGTACCCGGCCGCCGATCCGCCGGAAGTCCGTCGCCCGACGAACACCGGTCGGACAAATGCGGAGGCGCCGAGCTCCCATTTTTAAACTATAACAGAAATGCGTAAATAGCTAACCGCCGTTAGGCGCGCGTAAACATCTCGAATCGACGATGTGCTCGGGTAACCGACCCGACCGTTACCGAAAATACCCGAGCCGCGCACGCCGCTTCGAGATATTACCGTTAGAACAATACGCGAATTACGCAGACGCGCGCGCCGGAGAATTAGTATAAATAGAGCGCGTTTCTGATTATCGGGACCAGACCTTTCCGATCCAGCAGAGTCAGTAAGACGTCTGAAACCTTCCGAAATCCTGATAACGCTCCTAAGAGAAAGAACAATGGGGTTGGGTGTACTCAGCCTCCGCCGAGAGTTCGCGGCATCTCTACGAGCAATCCTGACACCACCACAATTAAGAGGTATCCGGGATCGGGCGTACTCGATCCAGCCGAGAGTTCTCGGCCCCTCGCTAACTTTCCGTCCACCTGGTGCATCGGCATTCTTCTCGTGGCAGGGAGTTCTCTGCCACCAACGGGATTTCTCGTCGGCCGATACATTCCCGATTCAGCCACCCGCGATCCAGATACGCGAATCACAGCCGACAAATACACGCACCGACGGACCGTATCAACCATCATTAACGCATCCGCCGCGCCATTATTACGGGAGCAATAAGTCCCGCGCCGAGGGCCGACCCGCGCCCTACCGCGTCACCGATCAACACCCGAAATCGATACACGCGTCGAAGGACCGCCCACCGACGCTGCCGCAAAGGTCCACCCGACAGCTAACGGCTCCTGCCGGAGTTACGCCGCGCGAGTAATAATCGATATTTGATCGAACACCCGAAAAACGCGAACCGCGCTGCGCGCGATCGCGCTGCATTGTATGCACCCTCCGACATTGCGTACTCGCACACCGACAGTATACGTACTCGCACACATACATTGCGTACTCGCACACATACATTAAACGTACTCGCACATATATCTTATACGTGCTCGTTCTCTCACTCGTCACTCGTCTTGCGCGCACGTACACACACACACACCTCGTACACCTATACATACACTCACGCTGTACAAACACACATTTACACGCAATAAATTACATTTCTACCAAACATCAATTCGCATTCGTGTCTCGATACCACTTTCACGAACCCAGAATCCCAACCGAGTTGTCCGTCGCCCGTCTCGCGAAAGCGGCTTGTTACATTGGCATAATGCTGGCAATAATTTTAGGAGTCTAATATTTCTTTCTTCTAAAAATATACTACGAAATATATGTATATACAGGGTGTCCCATTTTAAAAGTTCCACCCTCATAACTTTTCAGGATCAACGTTTGAAGGAAAACGATTCGGATAAAAGTTGTAGGGAACAAAGGGGGCTATCTAACAGTGACCTTGGATTTGACATTAAAGGTCATTTTCAAGGTCATTTAAAGGTCATTTTCCGCTTTTTAAATGGAATTCCCTCTTTTTTATTGCATTTAGATAGCCCCCTTTGTTCCCTACAACTTTTATCCGAGTCATTTTCCTTCAAACGTTGATCCTGAAAAGTTATGAGAGTTGTTGTGCCTCTAGCCGCTAAGGAAGAGGTGTTTAGGGATTTATACGCCCAAAGGATTAGGATCCACGCTCGAAATAAGATACTCCCGGACGTTAGGTAACAGACGCCAGCACGCACGGGCTCGGAGCCGTGCTTATGCAACAACTCAACGAGGGCGAGCGCGTGATTGCCAGTAGGGGAGTATGGCCGGTTCTAACCCACCTTGCTTTGGAAACTCCTCGTAAGAGTGAGAGAGTAAACATGCGGATAAAGTGAGAAACTTAGATATCTGAGGGAGGCATGTCGGGCAGGGGAGAAGAAAAGGGGGAGTACGTATGATGAGAGGGGAAGCGGGGTTGAGGGGGGGTCGGAGAAGCCACGGAGCTCGAGCTGTGCGAGAGGGGTGAGGGGAAGGGAGGGAGTGATAAAATCGGGTCGAGAGATCGCGTTATCGCGTCAGATGCGCTAAGGACGCGAGACGCGGTCTACGCTTTATCTCCGACCTTGGGAGTCGCGATGACCCGTGACACGTAAGTACGATACATCGAAGACGACGATACGAGAGAATATCGCGGGCGGCGAACTTCGGCGCGATGCGAGAAGCGCTTGTCATCGTTGAGCGGATCGACTCGTAGCGGTCGTCGCTTTATCCCTGACCCGAGGACCCGGGGAGTCGCAATGAACCGTGACATGTAAATACATAGGCGAAACAGCGAACATATCGCGATTAGCGGTGATACTCGTTTATTACGCGCAACAGCAAACTCTTTATAGTTTAAGAATGTATCGTGCGAATCGTGATTAGCAAATGTAGCGAAAATTTTTCCATAAAATCTAATGGACGGAAGTCGAATAAAGAGAGGTTTTCGAAGGAGAGCGTTTTTATTTGTAATAGTACAGAGATACAATAGCGCGTTAGGATTCTCCGAAGAGCAGAGCCTGCAGTTCGCAATCGATTATATCGTTGCGGTCGAAGTTCTCGCTGTCGCGTATCGCCGTCGGAATAAGCGTTCGATCGCGGACATCGGCCGCGATATCGAGGAAGCGCGTTAGCTTGTTATCGATGTATCCGGTTAAACCGCTCAAAGTTGTAATGATGCGGTTGATGCAATGCTCCAAGTTTAATATATTTAGCACGGTGCTCCTCGATGCGACTAGACGATCCTTAGGTGTTTCGAGACGGAGTATTCGGAGATTGTTAAGTTTGCCGAATCGCAACGTTAATTGTCCGATATATATCGGGGCTGGAGGGCGCATCTCCTCTCGCTCGTCGCGCTGAAAGTACGACGTAGGCACGGATTGCAGATCGAGCAGTTCCTTCCACACATCCGGCGCAAACGAGATCTCTTTGCCGTGACAATTTCCGAGGACGACTTCCACGTAAGAGGGTCGGCTGACGTTAACACCGACTTCGAGATGTTTGTACGCCGTTTTGGTCAATAGATAGCATCTTCCTAAGATTCTAAGCGATCGTCCAATCGCGACGTCGCGTCTTGACGACCAGTTGTAACCTTGTCTGAAGATACATAAATGTTGACGATGAAAAAAACATTGCTAATGTGACGAAAGAGTATTAATTTGAAATATGTTGTTCAATATTCTTACACGCTGTCAAACCTCGGTTTCTTCGCGGATCCCCCGTCATTCTCTCGATTTCGATCGGCGAGCGTCGATCGATTGTCGGCCGAATGCTGCTGTCCCATTGCATTGAACATGGTTATCTTTTTTTCACTCGTATGCTTTAGTGTACGTCGTTGACTATGAAGTGTCTAATGACTCGACGATCTTTATATACTCGCGTAGAGATCGCTCCTCCTTCCGCGCGCGTTTTTCGCTCCTTTTTATCATATTCTATTTTTACAATAACATTAGAGCGATGGCGGAAGTCGCTTCATCAGTCGTCCTCTTCGTCGATCCCGTCGCTTTTGGTTACGTCGCCGAGATGATAAGCGCGAATCAGAAGATCGCGCAATTGTCGCAACAATCCGTCCGTAGGACACTCGATACCGAGTACGTGAAGGTCGAAAGGACCCGCCAAGGTCACGATATTCGTGAATTCATTGAACGCGTAGAATTGACGCTTTGCGAAAAAATATAGATTACCGTCAATGTGTCGGTAGGCCGATGTTATCGCGGGCGGTATTCCTGGAAATATATCTTTCAACGGAGCGTGTCTAACGGCTATCATGCGACATTCGTCGATCTCCGCTACTTTGTCGTCGTCGTAGATCGCGTAGGTTCGTCCCGTATGCGTGTTTATCGCGGCGTTGATCTTAGCGTCTCGGGGAAGTCCGATATCGTGGAGAGATCTCGGCCAACCAGGTTTTAGCTTAAAACTGGGATATTCCGCGACATAGATCGAATCGTTAACGAATAGCGCGAGATCGCCCGATGGTCTTCGATACGCGGTGGACAGGCGCGTGAGATTCGCCGGAAGATACGTCGCGTAATCCGTCAACTTCATGGGTCTACCGTAGCGTCTCTCGGTTATGTCGACCGACCATACGTTGCGGCGATTAGCTATGTACAAGCGACGATTCATTATTAACGCCGCATCTATGCGCCGCAACGCGCAGAGATCCGCGCGCGCGGGGTCGGTCGGCGCGACGCTCGTCGTCGTCGTCGTGGGTGCTATGGTGATTGTGGAAATCGTTGGATAGTTTCCATCGTCGTGAGACCCACACAGATTCTGTATAGCGAGGACCTCCTCTATGCTCAGCTTAACCGGAAATTGATTTTCGATGTCGGGTATATACGGGAACATTACCGAGTCGTTGCGCATACTGTGCTGTAGACCTAGCGCGTAGCCGATCTCGTGCGTCAACGTTTGTAGCAAATGACACGTATCGGGAGGATTTTTGTTCAGATACACGTGCCACGGTTCCGCGTCGTCGATGTGCACCTCCGACGCGAAGTCGACCGCTCTCGAGGGAAAGAACGCGTGAGCGAGAGCTCCACCCGGACCGTCGAAGACCGCCGGGCAGATGTCGCCGCTCAGACGATTCGCGTAGGTGTGCGCGCCCGTTCGATACGATATCAGTATATCGGGATGTAGCGGGTCGCGCGCGAACGTTAACGACGAATTCACCGTCCATAACGCGAACGCCGCTTCGGCCGTTCTTAAGAGTTCTTCGCTAGCCACTTGAAAGTTCCACGTGAGACGCGTTTTCGGCCATTTTCGCGCGATCGGGCTATACGACCGGGAATGTCCGCGAGACCGCATCGCGGTTTGCGCATAAGACGA